GTGTAGTCGATTGATTTGCCGCTTCTGCGTTGGCGTGCGCTGACGTGCCAACGTCATCGATAGCCAATACCTCCCGCGGTGCGCTCGTTATCGATGACCCATAGTCCTCGAGAAGATGTAAGACCGATGGTTTGTGAGGATCGATATCGATTACCCCAACGAATCGATCTGAGGTTGGAGTTGCTCCTTGTTCCTTGCCGTTATCCCTGATGGGGGCATATGACTTAGGAGATGGAGCTTTCATGGCGCCGAGGAAGACTTTGCAGCTCGAGAGGTCGTGATTCTTTGTCTTGTGAATAGGACAATAGACATCCCGAGTTGGAGAAGTGCGCTGAATTCCACGTTCTTTGCAGGCGCGAATTTCAGCACAGACGTTGAGGAAAACCCAGCAATCTTGCAGAGTGTGTTTCTTGGTTTTGTGGATAGGACACCAAGACCTTGTGGCTTCGGAAGTCATCTTTGTCGGCTCGCGGTTCATGTCGGAAAGACAAGGTTTGACCGTATCAGAATCCTTCTCGAGCTTGGATGTTGTCGATGTTCCGTTCTTCGTTTCAACGGGAGGATTTTTCGACATGGAGTCGCCTTGGTTCGTAGCCACTGCGTTCTCGTTTCCGGTCATTGGGGGACCGGTTGAGATCAGCGTCGTGGTGTAAACCGGGAAGACGATTTCGCCAACTTGAGTCCATACCAGCATTGTTGAAGCAGGGAGTACTTGGCTGAGGCTGGTGTTGACGTTGTTGTCGACGAAGCTGGATGACATAGTAGTAGAACCTTGAGTACCAAGTGTCCCTACCTGGCGCGCCACTATCGACGGGTGATACCCGTAGACCGGGTATAGAGGGTATTGGGGTACGTTGGTACAAGGATCTACGTAGTACGACATCAAGCAACCAAAAGACAAGAATTATACTAGTTCAGGCCCCTTGATAGGTAATAGCCCTAATCCAGTTGGTATGGGATTATATGGTGGAAAACACAGGTTACAAAGGGAACGATGGAACTTATCAGATCCGGCGAGATTGTAGTCGAGTTGGTTCGACTTACTCTCGATGACTTGGCTCTTCGTAGACTCCGGCTTCGTAGGCTGTGTGGGTTGTGTTGGCTCTGAGATTCAATGTCCTATGCCCTCCCCGGGGGTCCCTTTTATATCGCAGATCTAGAGGTCTCTAAGTAGAACTCGGAGGTATCAGACCCTATACGATACGTCAACGACCCAGTTCTGTCCGAGTAGGATTCTTCCCATCTGTAGATTTCGTGAAAGGTTTCCTTACAGGAAATATCCGCGTGCGCGTGAGTATGCTATATCGATATGTAACGTATATCGAAGGGTAAAGGGTATGCCGAACCTGTAACCCTGACAAGGAGTAACTGAAACAAACAAGTAGATTATTATGCTAGATTATTATAATCTATAGCCAGATTAGTATAATCCAATAATCTCCTCTAGAGGAGGTTTTTTTCAGATTATTGAGTGGCTGAAGACCCACTACCCTTAGATGCATCTAATAATCCAAAGAAACAAACAACTCACAACTTATTCTATGTCAGCTTATTATAATCTAGCTTAGAGTAATCTGATTTAATAATCTAGATTACAATAATCTTAAACTGAAACAAACAGTATCTTGGCATATCAGGGAATACGGATGATCCATGGGGTAAAATTTTCTGGTAAATCCAAGTGAGGGGGGTGGCTGTGACTGCAGGTGGGCCCGGGACTGGGTCGGCGGGGATTCTCTGCGGCCGGGTGGAGTACGGCGCTATTCGGTGGCGGCTCTTCGGTTAAAAATGTTTTTTATTACTTTTTAATTAAAAACCGTTTTTGGCGAGTGTTGCACTGTTGCCTTGCCCTTTTGTGTTGTTGAAAAGATGTGAACCGTTCTTCTTCCGAGCAAGTTGGACATGTTTCTCGATGGATAACACAAGTGGGGGTTATCATCTACTATTTGATTTGGAACTAGTTACTAGCTGGGTTGGTGTTCTCTAGGAGAAAAACATACTGTGGTGCTTTTTTTAATTAGCAAATCACACATAGGGATAAGGAGAATGTATGATATATACTCGAGTTAATTTTGAAGAGAAACCCAAAAAATAAGTTAGACGTATGTTTCAAAGATAATTTCAAATGTCACCGATTGATATTGGAATATATTTAAGGAGCATGTAGCTATACCATAAGATGTACTTCCTCCGTTTCACAATGTAAGACTTTCTAGCATTGCCCACATACATATATGTGTTAATGAATCTAAACATATATATATATATATATATATATATATATATATATATATATATATATATATATATATATATATATGTGGGCAATGCTAGAAAGTCTTACATTGTGAAACGGAGGAAGTAATTGTGATTTGCGGCTGATAACCATAAGAACCAATACTCGGCTATCTTTCGACGCCTTAAGTCCTCAATAATTTATATGTTGGAAATGTAATGTAAGCTCATATGGATTTGTTTTATTTAATAAATAAATCATGACGACGTGAAGATCAACTATCACAATCATATCATGTAAGTATATTCTACACATGGAGTACATGGACATATCAAACATAATTGACAAAATTCTCCCTCTCCAGATGCATGATGTAGAAGTTGATGGTTTCGGAGACCTACTCTCCCGAACATCGGTGCAGGGCTGCATGCAGCATGCTGATGAGCAGATTGCAAATCCTAAAATATTTTTCACATACTCCTTTTTTGTGTGTAGATAGCGCCTGTTTGTGCTCTTGAAAAGATGTGAACTGTTCCAAGCATGTTGGACATGTTTCTCGATGGATAAAACAAGTGGGATTCTTGTGTGTTTGATCTGGACTAGTTGGGATGGTGTTCTCGATAAAAAAAAAACGTAACATTTTCATGATCAAACCACATAGGGTTAAGGAGGAAGTACATGATTTAGTGGAATTAATTTATATCCAGTAGAAAACATCAGAGTATTCATGTATATTTCAAACATAATTTGTAATCGATAAATGTTGGAATATCTCGGAAAAACATGTCACAAATTTAATACCATGGGATGCTAGTTCTGATCTATGACAGAGCAACCAATACTTAGCTATGTGTTTGAAGCCTTGAGAGTCCATATTGATTTGGCGAATTTTGCTACGAAAATCATGATTTCGCAGCTTTACTTGCAGGATATGCACCGTTAAAGTCACGATATCTTTTGGCAAATTTTGCCTATTGATTTGTACTTTACATATATTGGCTTTAATTGTGGACCGATAAGCCCTAGAAAACTAACGAAGCAACCATCAAATATTTATGTATAATATTTTTACATATCTGTTAGCGGTTTGAATGCTAATACTGAAAAATAGACTACTGTGAAAAAACAAATCTACTCCAAAATCAACTTTTAAAATTCGAAATTTAGTTGTGGATAATAAACGAGTGAACGAGTTTGCTAAAAGTTTATTGTGTAGGAAAAAGAGGATGTGAGGGATGATCAATAGCTAGAAAATTGATGAATAGTAGTGCTGAAAAATACTGGTCCGTAAATAGGGAGTTTATATGTAAGATTTCAAACATATTGGTGACATGGACAAGATAGGACGATAAGAATCGAATATATATCTCATAAAGCTGATACCCTTCTTAAAAAAAAACTCATAAAGCTGATGCGATGTAGAATCCTAACGGCAAGAATGACATAATTTCATCTACGAAAACTCACAGATGTCCTAATCATACTTGCAATATGGCTAAAAAGCCAATAAAGCCGTGAGAGAAATTTCCCAAGCTAGCTACAGTACTAGCTAGCTTTAGCAAATATATATACTATGATGGTATGATATCTCCTAAAAGCGTGCTTTATATTATTGATAGTGAAATATGTATCACATTTGTTGAATAACATTTTTATAAGTCCTTAACCAACTGATCATCGAAAGAATTGCGTCACGCTGTTACTACAGAAGCATAATGACAACATATCAAACAACTATCAAATGAGCTATTAATTAGCATCGTGTCGGCAAGATAAAGTCCCTAGGGTACAACCAAAATGATAGGTCCCCAAAGTACGAATCGGATGATATGTCAGTTTGTTTATTTTGTCTAACCATATATCCATCCGCCTAATGCCACCGGATCTTTTAGGCTCTTTCAAATAGATGATTTGAAAAAAAAAATAGAACAATATAAAAAAAGATTTTAGTAGAAATATAAGTATGAATCAGAGGATTGCAAGACACATAAATATTCGTTTGATTAGGTTGTATGAAAAACACAGAAATAAAATAAGAGAAATAAACTCAAAGAAAATTTTATAAAATATTGGAGCTCTTGATAACTTTCCTTTATAAAATCTTTATAAGATTGTCTATTTCATTTAAATTTGAAAGGTATGATAGGATTTAATCTTTTATTTCAAATGTTTTTGTAGAAAATTTTCTTATAGAATTATAATCCTTTAAATTCTAAAATGATTAAACTTAAGCCATATATAATCACACTGTACACTGATTTTCAGACTTTTTAACTGGAAATTTGATGATGTAAATTCTTCATAGATTCAATCATGATTATCTTAATCTAATCACATCGATACCGCGTGATGTGTTTTGATTCTTTAAAAACGAAAGGCGACATGTGAAAGAAATTATAGCATCATATGTTATCTATATTTCCTAATAAGCCAAAACGACTTAAGAAATAAAAATTAATTTGTAGGTAAAACTTTTATATATTTGCTCGTGCCAACTTAAAAGTCAATGTTAAAAAATACGTTGAAAATATCTAAAAGTTAACTTTGAAATCAAGTTAAAAAAATATTAAAATTTAGCTTTTTTTTCTTCGACTATTAGGTCAAACCGATGGGACTCTCGGTGGCGACGCAAACCTTTTGAGAGGTGAGACGAGGCCCTGTCACGTAAAACTCCAAAACCTCAGGGTCCCATCTGCACAAGTACCCTCCCATCCAGCAGGCCCCACCACAAAATCCTTTTTCTTTTTTTCATTTTTTCTGTGCTTTTTTCTTCCTCCTTTTTTCACAGTGGCTTGCATCTGTCACCCTCCCGAGCTCCCCACTCGTCTCCACCTCCCCGCGATCCCCTCCTCCACTCCCCCCCGCGCGCTCCCATCAAGAGGAGAGAGAGTGAGAGGAGGTAGCTCTGCCACCGGAGCGGCTGCGGGGAGCGGCGGCAGTGCTCCTCCTTCCGGGGAGATCGGGGTCGCTGGTTGGATCCAAGAAACGGTAGCTTTCGGGGGTTGGTTCTTGTTTTTGGGGGAATCTTTCGGTTGGGGAGTGAGTTGGCTGATCTGTGTGTGTGTGTGTGCAGGGGAGGGGGATTTGCTGGCGGGGAGGAGCCGAGTAGGGAGATGAGCCGGGGGCGGTCGCCGGAGCCGCTGGATTTCTTCATCTGGACAGTCGAGGTACGCTCACCTGTGGACTCCCTCCCGTCTTCTTCTTCTTCTTCTTCTTCTTTTTCTGATTTTCTCCACCGACTAATTTGTGTTTTGGATGCTGATTTCGCGGAAATTTAGGGGCTCTCTCGTCGCCGCATTTCAGCTAGGTGGGGCTTTAGTTCGGGGGAATTTTTTGGTAGGGGATTGGGGGGGAACATTTGATATGATTGGTCTTTCAGTTTGCAGTTGTTCAGTCAGTTCTTAGCTTTAGTAGATTGCTTGTTCGGATTTGAGGGTGGACTCGTGGGGGCCAAATTTGGAGGTACATTTTTTATATGCTGTTAATTGCCAGACTTTTTCGTAGGCAGTTCATAAGCGGTTACTGCGGTTAGTATAAATCTTTTATGTGATTTTGTAATAAAGTTCCCTGTACTTCCTGCATATCTTATGCTTTTGTTCGAGGTTTCACTTGTTTTGCACTTGTCATTCAGTAAATCATTGATCGTTTAGCTTTATAAAGCTTGTGATGGGTTCTATTGTGTTGATGCCATTGTGCTGGGGTGCAAGGAAAACCATCAGACCATACAAGATACATGTGTTTCATGCATTTGTTTGCGAGCTTTTCGTTGGCCTAGTGAATGCTGTTACATTAAGTTCAGTTAACTGGGGCGCTCTTTTGCTTTGTATTACAATCGCGAATATAATATACTTTTTTGGCACAATATGGGATAATACATCCATTGTATGATACTGATTTGTGTTGCAATGGGCATAAATGCAACCTTTTAGACATCTATATACTGTCTGACTGCATATATTACCTCTTATCTTGAGCTAGAACGCCTAAACAAAGGATAACTAGTTTGATTGTAAATATTGCAGTGCAATAGTTCGGATTTTATCTTGTTAGAAATTGGGCCTATGTGCAATTCAGTTCAAGCCCTGCTAAATTTGTAGCAACCTGAACCTCCAACATAGCCCCTGCTAAGACAAAGTTTGATTAAGGACTAACCTAGAAGGCTAGCCCAAGTTTAATTCATGATGAGGAGCAGCCCAGACCAGATTTTAACTCTTGTCGAACTCAAGATATGTTTAGTATTACTTGGTTGAGTATTGCTCTGTTGGCTGAAATTGCGCTCAACTTTAAACAAGAGAGAGATTTACAAGCAGCTAACTCATGTGGTGAGCTGGTTCTCCATAAATATCTTTGTCACTAACCATCTAAAGTATTAATCCCTCTGTTCCTAAATATTAGCATTTCAAGTTTGTTTAGCAAATACTAAGGTTGAGGTAAAAGATTCCCTTTCAGTCACATCAGTGTCAGATTTGAATTGCTTGGATTACCTTTCTAAGCACCTGATTGGTTGAAAAATGGCTAGATTCCCATGCATTGGAATCAGTATCCTAGAAATGCTTATATCGTGTACAATAATTGAAACTTAGAGATGCTTATATTTGGGAACGGAGGGAGTATTATTTATCATTTAAAGTTGAGGACAGCTGTGCTCAATCATGAACAATGTATCTTCACATGCATATGTAGGTACATGCACTGTACAGCCTATCCAAAGTTTTCCAAGATTCATCCAAATGCATTATAATAAATAAAAGACGGGCTGATTGGTTTGAATTGAAATGGATCTGTTTCGAGGCACATTGACGGTGGTGAATAATACTTGAATTTTCATGTGCATCAATTGAAATGTTCCTTTCATTACAATGGAATACTTCCTCCGTTTCATATTATAAGACTTTCTAGCATTGCCTACATTCATATATATGTTAATGAATCTAGACATATATGTGTGCCTAGATTCATTAACATCTATATGAATGTGGGCAATGCTAGAAAGTCTTATAACCTGAAACGGAGGTAGTACAACTTTTCATAAGGGTTGCATGTGTTATCTAACACAAGCAGGTTTAGCATAATGTTTAAACCATATCTACCATGCCTTTTAATTTTCATGTGCCTATGCTTTCTCTTTTCGCTCTTTGTTCTTTTTGTCATTCATATCTATGTGGGTTTTGGTTCCTGTAAAATTGAAAAGGGCATCTTAGTTTCATTTAATCATTTTAAGGATCTCATCACGCGGTGATATTTACTCTGAAATAGTGTTTTCATTTGATCCTTATGTTTTGGCAATCTGTTTTTGTTCTAACTGACTAACTTGATATTTACCTATTCGCAGTTTTGAACATATAGCAGTTAGTGTCATGTGCATGATCGAAAGGGCATGTTACCTCAAGGTGCTTAATATTTACCTAAGATTATCAATTCTCTTTCAGGATGTTGGATTATGGCTTGAAGAGATAAACCTTGGCAGCTACAGGCAAGTTTTTGAGGAAAACGGTGTCAATGGAGAGTATCTTGAAAGCCTGTCGATGTTTACTACAGAACAGATTCTGCGGTTTATCAGGAGGTGCCATATGAAATGGGGAGATTTCATTACATTGTGCAAAGAGTTGAGGCGCATCAAAGGTTTGTATATTTCTGTGCCTTAGCCTTTAGTACGAAGGAATAACCATAACACATTTCTACTACTCTAAAAGCATTTTGCTGCTACATATTTTACCTTTTGTTTCTCATTTGATTTTATGATGTGCCAAGCAGTCGTCATAATCAAATTCTCTTTTCCTTTCACTAATGCCATGCTTTATGTCAAATTCGAAACCAATCAAAATACTAGTTGATTGAAGTGGTTGAAGGTCACTGTTTTAACTTTTACCCCTCAAAAGTTTTTGATGGTGCTATGCAAATTGATTCCTTTTATTTTGTTTTGATGTAAATATGAAGCACAAATAGATAAAAAACCATGATCCAATTATCAACATATATTGCATTATTCAAAAGTCAACTTTGACTAAGCATCAATATTACCTCAAAACATGCTGTGTGCCTGGTTAATTATGAATACATATCTTCGGAATGTTGGCTGAATGGATGATTATGCCGAATAGTATTATTGTGCAAGCACTTTAGGAATAATGGGGATGAGGATACTAGCAAAAGGTGATTGTGATTGGATCTGGTCCGCGTCAATAGTACTTTGAATTATGCTGCATGTTTTGCTAATTATGAATGGATATCTTTGGAATGTTGGTTGATTATGTCGAACAACATCGTTGCACAAGCACTTGGGGATAATTGGGATACTGGCAAATTAGCAAAAGGTGATTGTGATTGGATCTGGTCCCATCCTTACCATCACTTCGATCTACTTTTGGATTCTAGCATGGCACTGATGGGTATTGTAGACCAATATGTAAGACTGAATCTAGAAATACACCCTTGTTACACCATTGAACTTGTCTGATGGATTAATGAACTTGCCATACAAGTCTGCAAACTTTCGGCATTCTTTGAAGAGTTCTTTCTTTCTCTTTTGGTTCTTGTAGACAGTTTAAGATGCCATGATTGCACACAGATATTGATATGTACTTCTAACTGCTCAATTGGTTGGTGTTTTGGCACTGAATGTTTATTTACCTGACGCCTGCAAAATCTAATCTCCAGTGGCCTGCCTGAAAGGGGAGCAAGAAGTCCGCAGGCCATGGTGGGCGCCGTCATGCCTATCGGTGGTGTTCGTGAGGGCGGCCAAGCGGAACCGGCAGTCCCGAGTCGTCTCCCTGAAGCTGGAGCCCTAGTACCCATCCACCGCCTCAAATCTTTGCGCATTCGCCGTTCTACCCCGCCTTCCAGCTCCTCTTGGTGGAGGCGGCACTGCAACCGCACACCGTTGGTGTGCTAGTTCCCAGTGATATGAAAGGTCTTTTGCTGTGAAGAGCAGAAGTATGCTGCTCTACTATGTTCAACCGGTCCTCTTATCCTTTTTTTTCTTGATCTGTTTTAATCATGATATATAGGGTTTGGAATAGTAACCTTGGTGTAGACAAACAAGATACATATATTGTGCAGATGGTTCCCCTTAAAAGTTTCTGCTGCTTGCAAGTCAGTCTGAGCTTGTTCTAGTAGGTATTTTTATCTTGTGAAAGATTGATCCCCCTAGAGATCTTGATCAATCTGCAGAAAATGCAGATGTTTTATTTGGTGTTGGTAAAAAAAAAAACACTACTACTTCCAACATTTCTTTTATTTGATGACATTGTAGAATTAGAATCTGTCTGGTCAATCACTCAAAAACTTTGCATCATTGATACTTTTCAATTTACATGAACAAGGGAGAACCGCATCACTAAAACTTCCATTAGGAATACTTCTGTAAAATTTATCATTTGTATAAATTTTACTGATGTCTTTGTTATGAAAAAGATATCCCTGGTGGTTATATGTATCTAGACCTGGCCCTTGGGCGTGTACATTGTATCTGTACAATGTAGCAGGAGTACACGTGTATCCAGAACCTTCTGCCGTATCCAAGCAAGAGGTGTGCAGTGACTGACAGGTGGGCCGCATTAAAAGCAGGCCCACTTGTCAGCCGTAATCCTCCTCTTGCTAGCCTTCTGGATTCTGGAACCTTCTCCCACGGGGTGGACCCCACATGTCATCGTCTCAAAACAGTTACGCTGGACTTTACCGCAGGTGCACCTAGCATCTCCGCGACGAGCCAATCCAGAACCTTCTCCCCCCAAAAACCCTCGGCCACTCGTCCGCCCTCTCACTGACAGTGGGGCCCACGCGGTGGGGCCACAAGGTCAGTGACCCGTAGTAACCCCCCATCTTCTTGCTCCGCAAGGCGCACGCCATTTATACGCCTCCGTCCTCCGTCGCGCCGCCCCCACAAAAACCCTACCGCCGCCCCCAAAACCCTCGCCTCGCCGTCGCCGCCGCCGCCGCCGTTGCTGTCTCCCCTCGGCGAATCCACGGTAGCTCTCCCGCTCCCCCTCCTCGGTGGTAGGAGTAGCGGAGGAGATGCTCGGGGCCTCGAGGCGTTCCGTCTGCACCGCCGCGGCGGCGGCGGCGGCCGGGTCACGCCGCCGCGCCGCCGCCGGCGTCGCCTCCGCCGTTTCCGGGGATTCCTCCGTCTCGTCTTCCTCGGCGCCCCCACGCTCGGTACGTGCCATCTCCGGCCTTGACTTTCTCTACGGCTGCGGCTGTTTCGGGCTGGTTGCGGGTTCAGAGGGAAAATGTGGGGGCTGGTCGTGATCGCAAATTAGCGGAAATTGAGTGGTGCTTAATCTGTATAGTACTCTTGTTCGCCCATTACGTGGTATCAATTTGAGTTAATTTTGCGGTGTGTGTTAATTCAAGCTAATTCGTTGGTTTAAGTTCATCTTGTTGATTGTGATATTTAATAGTCGATTGGGGGAATCATTAGATTTTTACTGTCTGATTGATTGTTTGAATTGAGTCGAGCCTTTGAGCTTCTGTATGTGATACTCACAACCCACATGTATCGTCCGATTCTCAGGTGATTAATGGGGAGCCTGGTGTCCCTCAGCTTCAGAAGAGGTTGCTCTCTGTGCTTGCTGCGCCCAAGCTTACCGGGACCGACAATGCTGCCTCCCTCAAGCTGAGGGAGGGTTCCCTTGTTGGCAGGCGATATGAATCGAGTGCTGCAGCAGTTGATTCTTCTGATACGCCACCTGTGGAGAAGCATGAGTACCAGGCAGAGGTAACTACTGGAGCAATGGCTAATGTTTTATTTTTCTTAATCAATCTCGTGTTACCAACGGTGTCATGATATTGTCCAATGTGCATGGCAGGTCAATAGGCTCATGGACTTGATTGTTCACAGCTTGTATAGCAACAAGGAGGTGTTTCTTCGAGAGCTTGTCAGGTGGGTGTCATTCAAGAACATAAGTTGTTCACTAATTGAAGTTTGTACTAATCATCATCTTGGTTTACTCTTGTGCGTTTAGTTTGATCTCTATGGTTTAATTTTTTTTAATTTCTTCATCGTGTATCTGTTTGCAGCAATGCAAGTGATGCACTTGATAAGTTGCGGTATCTTAGTGTCACTGATCCTGATCTTATAAAGGATGGTGCTGGTCTTGACATTCGCATCCAAACAGATAAGGAGAATGGAATAATAACAATCACGTAAGTATTAGTTACTTGATCAATTATGTGGCTCCTTTCTTGCAAACTCATGCCTGCATTTGCTCCTTTTTATCTTTAGTGATACTGGGATTGGTATGACGAGGCAAGAACTTGTTGATTCTCTTGGAACTATAGCGAGCAGTGGAACTGCCAAATTCCTTAAGGCACTAAAGGTGTGTTCCATTTGCACTTTGCTGATGTTACCTTCATGTCCTTATTTTTCTTTGTTTCTTATCCTGTCATATTACTAATCTTAAGTATTATTATATAATAGGAGAGCCAAGAGGCTGGTGTTGACAGCAACTTGATTGGTCAATTTGGTGTTGGATTCTATTCTGCGTTTCTTGTTTCTGATAAGGTAAGATGCTATCGTGATTGTCTTTAATTAGAAGGTTAATAGCTGGCTGTTAATGACCTAGTGTTTATTTCCCATTGTCCTTGGCTGACATGTTAATATTTCATGAATATTATTTATTTTGTCTAATAGGTTGCAGTGTCAACTAAGAGCCCAAAATCTGACAAGCAATATGTTTGGGAAGGCGAGGCAGAATCTAGTTCTTACACCATTAGAGAGGAGACAGACCCAGAGAAGCTCCTTCCTAGGGGAACTCGCCTTACTCTGTACCTTAAGGTCTATTTGCTTATTTTGATATCATCCAACTCATTTTATACATGACCTGTTTCTAACTACAATTCTTGGTATTGTTTCAGCGTGAGGACAAGGGTTTCGCACACCCTGAGAAGATTCAGAAACTTGTGAAGAATTACTCACAGTTTGTTTCCTTCCCTATTTATACTTGGCAAGAGAAAGGTTACACAAAAGAGGTGAATGCTCTTCCTTTGTTAATTATTTTTTATTGGACCAATGCATCAATTTAATTGTGGCATATTTTGCTCTTTTAGGTTGAGGTCGATGAACCTGTTGAAGCTAAAGAAGGCGACGATGAGACTAAAACAGAGGTAACTGTGATATGCTTTTCTGCCAAGATAAATCTGTTATACTTAATACTTGTGCATAATTGTATTACCATGATATTAACAGGTTAAGAAAAAGACAAAAACAGTTGTTGAGAAGTACTGGGATTGGGAGCTTACAAATGAAACACAACCTATATGGGTGAGATTTGATCTGTTCAGTGTGCTAATATGTTTTTATTAATGAATGCACCCATCACTTATTGAAAATATGAAGGTTCCAAAAAAAAACTGAAGCTTTTTTTTTCATTCTCTGTTTATGGTAGCTTCGGAACCCTAGAGAGGTATCAACTGAGGAGTACAATGAGTTTTACAAGAAGACATTCAATGAGTACATGGATCCCTTAGCATCCTCACACTTTACTACAGAGGTATGTCTGATTGCATTTGATTAGTTATCAGTTGATTCTTTCTTTTTGTCAATTGAACCAGAATCAAGGTTGATATAGGTAGCAGTGCAGTTATTTTGATGATATGTTCATTGTGCATGACTATTCTATGAAGACAAGTTTTTTTTCATGCTTATACATTTGACAAATTTAACCAAACTTGCGATATCACAGTATTCTGTAACTGCTGTGACCAAATTAATATCTTCATACTATTCTTTCACAAAGAGTCAAAGACACACGAGTGCTATTCATCAGGCAAACATATTTATATACAGGAACAGATAATAGTTCATCCTTCGTTAACACTAACTCAGCTGGTAAAGTTATGTAATACATGTCTATTGCTGCATATGCGACTCTTCATTTCAATTATGGTGGTTCTATTCAAATATTTTTTTGGATATCCACAAGCATGCGAATGTTTGGTTTTGTAACATTGTATTGCATTATTCAGTGAAAATGATATTGTGATCAGTGCGGCAAAGATGCCAAACTGGTTCATCTTTTTGGTTAGAATTGCACCGATCTCCATGTGATAGTTCATTTATCTTCATGGATTGGCACCAATATAGCACATCTGTCTATCTCACGGTAAAACTGTGCCTGATTGCACTTCACAGGCTCACTTGGCTGTGTTTGATTTTATTCATGCAGGGGGAAGTAGAATTCAGATCTATTCTCTATGTGCCTGCTACAAAGAAGGAGGATATAACTGATAGGAAGACCAAAAATATCAGGCTTTATGTTAAGCGCGTGTTTATATCAGACGACTTTGATGGGGAACTGGTATGCTTAATACACAGCAGCTCTTCATGATTCTTTGTCAAGTTTTAGATAACCATGGAAATCTGACAATAAAAAAATGTTATTGATCAGTTCCCAAGATACCTGAGCTTTGTGAGGGGTGTTGTTGACTCAAATGACCTTCCATTAAATGTTTCTCGTGAGATCCTGCAAGAAAGCCGAATTGTAAGTGTTAATGAATGGTTTTCTGTCTATGTCTTGTACATTTCTATCATGATCTTCTAACATTGATTTATCTTTCCTTTTTTTTTCCTTCTTGTTTGTTACAGGTGCGTATAATGAGAAAGAGGTTGGTGCGAAAGGCCTTTGATATGATACTTGGCATCTCTTGTAGCGAAAACAGAGATGTAAGTTGTTTACTTTCCTTTTGTGCATGATGCCTCTGTTCTCTCCCTTATCCTTCAGTAGTTCAGTTCTCACCTGAAATTTACTGTAGGACTATGAAAGGTTCTGGGAAAACTATGGCAAGTTCTTAAAGCTGGGTTGCATGGAAGACAAGGAAAATCACAAGAGAATTGCTCCTTTGCTCCGATTCTTTTCTTCTCAAAGCAATGAAGAATTAATTAGCTTGGATGAATACGTGGAAAATATGAAACCTGAGCAAAAGGACATTTACTACATTGCTGCGGACAGTTTGAGTAGTGCAAAACATGCTCCTTTCCTGGAGAAGCTCAATGAAAAAGAGTACGAGGTATGTACTGTGAATAGCTTACCATGTTTGCAGACACATGATCATATTTCTTAATTATATTTTGCTATTGGATTCTGGGCTTTATTGAATGCATTCATTGCCCATGCAAACTTTGCCCTGAAAGGCAAATATAGTTTACTGGCCTTCAGGGCCTGTTGAATTTCATAGTTGAGATGCCTTATATTTTCCCAAATATTGGAACAAACATGCTTGTTTTTGCT